CGGAGGAGAGAGCGCGTGGGTGGCCGTGAGCCCCCCGCAAGCCGGCGCCTCCACGTCCGGACACGCAGCGACCCGAGCCCCGCGGCGCTCCGGGAAGGGCCGGCGGCGAGGTCGCACCTTCGCCTCGCGCAGCCCAACTGCTCCGGGCGCTTGGGGAGTCCTTCCTCCAGCCTCCCTGGGTCCTGGCCACGGGAGCCTCATTACTGACACGACGCAAAGCAACGACGCTCGAGAGATTGTGACAACTTAAAGAAAAAAAAAAAAAAAGAATGCCGTGGAAGTCTAGGCTGCCTCCGCGGTGACGACACAGCCGCGCGGGCCGGACTCGCCGCCGCAGCCGGGGCCCGGCGGGGGGGCGGGGGCCGGCCTGCGCCCCCGGGCCCCCGTGGACACGCCAGGCGCGCGGCGAGGGGCGGGGGGGCCGGGGGGACCCGGGGGGGGGGCCGGGGGGGCCCGGCGGCCGCTCACCTGGTGCGTGTTGTTGGCCAGCTTGGCCACGACGTCCCGGACGCGGCCGCAGTCCTGGTCGTCCTGGAGCGCGCTGCGGCGCCAGCGGCCGGCGCGGGGACCGGGGCCCCCGGGCGCGGCGGCGCGCAGCCCCCAGCTCACGCCGACGGGCCCGGGCCAGCGCGACAGCGGCGCGGCGGGCGGCGGCGGCGCGTCCAGCCGGTCCTGGCCGAGGCTGGCGGGCGGCAGCAGCTGGACGAGGAGGAGGAGGGGGAGGCCGAGGCCGTGCGCGGCTGCCCGGGGCCGCTCCATCGCCGCCGAATGCCGACGCCGCCGCCACCTGCCGCCCGCGCCCGCGCCCGCCCCCGCCCCCGCCGCCGGCGCCGCGCCACACCCCCGAGCCGGCCCGGCGCTCCGCGGACGCGCGGCCCGGCCCCTCCGCCCCATAGGCGGGCCGCCTGTCCTTCTTCCGCGGCCGCTCCTCATTGGCTCGCGTCGCCTCCGGCTGCGGGGGTCCTGCGTTCCGAGGCCGGGACGCGGGGCCGATTGGCTGGAGCGGCCGAGGCGGCTGAGGTCATCCCGCTCGCCCCGCGGCCCCGGCGGCCGCCCGAGTTCCGCGGGCGCTGCCCCGCCCCGCCCCGCCGCGGACCCCCGCTGCCCACCGCGGCGCCCTGGGGTCGGGCCCGGCGAGACTCCCCGGCCCCCGCCCTGGGCTGCGGCGGCGCCGGGAAAGCCTCCCGAGGGAATCCCTCAGCTCGCTCTGCTGGAAAGGGGGCTTCGTCACGAACCGGTGCTTCGGGTTCTCAAGCCCGGCGCAGGGAGCGCCCATTGTGTGATGGGGCCGCCGCCTCGCTGCCGGACGGGGCAACGCGAGCTGTGTGGGCAGGTCCTGCAGAGGCGGATGGACACCGGGACCTCCGTGACTCCGGCAAGCCCCGGGAGCCCTCCACCACTTAGGGTGTCGCTCACCTTCCTCTTCTGCAGGGAGTTAGGCCAGAGGCAGAATAGACTGGCTCATTGGTTTCCCCGGACTTAACAAAGTAGCTTAGAAATCAGGGCTGGGTAAAAGGGGCCAGAGAACTCCCCAGTGCCCACTTCAGACACGATCATTTCATGGGTGCATGCTGCCTTTACCGATGTGCCTTGACCCCGCAGGCAGTGCATTGCACAAGTTTGGTTTTCCGTATGTGATGCCCACCAAATAAGGGCTCTGCCTCTCATCAATAAAACAAAACCCCCATGCTGTTCCCTTTATCGCAGAAAACCGCAGACTTAACTTTTAGAACATGCAGCGCAGGTAAAACCAGTTTTGAATCTTGACTTTATGGACTCCAACCCTTCGGAATGCTAAAAGCTGTTCAGTAGAAAAGGTAGTAAATAGAAAGAGACAAAATATGCAAAACGTTACACCCAAATAAGACCACTGAAGATACTTTTAGCTATAAACTGGAGGTAAACCCAAATGAGAATATATTATTCACTGTAGAACAAAATGGTGCAATGCACCCACCCGATGTTTACATTAAAATCCTACTCACAGAGATTTGCAAACAAAAAGATTTACAAATTTACATTTTTCCCCCCAGAACAACCACAGTAAGACTGAGGAGTGAAAAATATTTTTGAATGGCATCTGAGCAGAGTGGTGAAATCACTAGACTAGTCTTCCAAGTTCTCAGCTGCTGAAATGACAAAGCTTGAAAACTGGTGTACAGTTTGTACCTTTCCATTAATTACCATGTGTCAGATTATTTTTTTAAATACAGATTATTTTTTTGATCTATGCCAACTATGGAGTAGATCACAAGACAGTCAGTTCCAGTAGCATGTGATTAGCTAGGGGAAGAAGAGGGGCTACAGAGGAATATTTCTTTGTTTGGGTGACACAAAGATGAATGGTCTATTGTCTGTCTTGAAAAGAAAAAAAAGCCAACTCAACAGTGCCATCTCCTGGAGAAATTACCAAATGCACTTCTTTACAAGTAGTGTTGCAGTTCTCTGTACCTTCACTTCTGAATATATTGCTTTTAGTTACCAACCATATGCTTACAGAATGTATATTGCCTTCTTCAAACTGGACCAGTTGCTAGAACATGGTACTTTGCATATGGCACTGAGAAAATGTTTTGAGTGAATAAACTTTTTGAATTTTACTTTCTTTTTTTTTTTTTTTTTAAATTTTTATTTATTTATGATAGTCACAGAGAGAGAGAGAGAGGCAGAGATATAGGCAGAGGGAGAAGCAGGCTCCATGCACCAGGAGCCCGACGTGGGATTCGATCCCGGGTCTCCAGGATCACGCCCTGGGCCAAAGGCAGGCGCCAAACCACTGCGCCACCCAGGGATCCCCTGAATTTTACTTTCATGTGACAAAGGCACTATATACAAAAGTTGCACTGTCAGACCTCCCTTGTGAAATACTGCAGGTAAGATCTTACCTCACTTGCAGGACTAAAATATATCAATTACCTATTACTAAAAACTGTACTTTTCTCCAAGATACATTCTATAGCAGAAGTATCGATAGAAAGCAGTTATACATCACAAAATCATCACTTTTCCTAGTGAGACCAGTTCTTCTCCCATTTAAATTGGACAATAGAAACGTTGTAGAAAGTTTTAAAATTCTACAGAAAACCAAACTTCTCTCTCAAGAATGCTGGAATTCTATTCTTTCAAGAATTATTGGGATCCCTGGGTGGCGCAGCGGTTTGGCGCCTGCCCTTGGCCCAGGGTGCGATCCTGGAGACCCGGGATCGAATCCCACGTCGGGCTCCCGGTGCGTGGAGCCTGCTTCTCCCTGTGCCTGTGTCTCTGCCTCTCTCTCTCTCTCTCTCTATCATAAATAAATAAAAAATTAAAAAAAAAAAAGAATTATCAAGTTTGAATTATAGAGAGTATGACGTTTATTGTTTCACTAGTTGTATAGTCCAAACTACAAATAACACTGCCCAGGCAGCAAGAGGAGTAACAGTGGAAGCTGAGGCTAAGGGAGATATGCCAAGATCTGCTTTTCCCCACATAATATCCATAATTCAGAGACACAACTCCCACCTCTCCCTAAAGGAACATGCTTTGCTCATGAACCTATAGTTAAAGGGAATGTACAGTCTAGTTCTCCCCTCTAAGGGCTCCGTGGGAGCACAGACCATATCCAGTATTTTCACAACTCTATCCCCAATGCCTAATACATTGCTTGGCATATAGTGGATAGGTACTCGTTAAGTTTGTTAGATTTGAATAAATAGAAGTTGTGATAGGACTTTTCAGTGGCATTTCTACTATGATCTAATTAAAGTGAACATGAGAGAAATGAATCTCATGATTATCGTGTTGTATTTATTTTAAAAGTAATCGCTGTGCCCAATGTGGGGCTCAAACTCAAGGACCTGAGATCAAAAGTTGCATGCTCTACTGACTTGGGCCAGCCAGGCACCCCTATCATGTAATATTTAATAACAAGGTTAAAGTCACCAAAACAGTCTCCAGAACATTGGTGACAACTCTAGTTCCCTGTTTTCCTTATGTGTATACCTAGGGCAAAATTATTTTCTTCCAAATGTTTCCTGCCACTGCAATTTCCAAATGTATATAAACACAGGTTTTTTGTTGTTTTCTTCCTGGAAACACAGTATGAAATTTAGTATGAATTCAACCTACTCAAATAACATCATTTATTTTGACATCATGGACTACAACTTCCTACAAATGTCAATGAAGATAACATGCAATCAATTCTGCATTATCCACATATGGATTAGCCATGTTGTATATAGTCCAGGTATATTTCAAATATCTATGACCGGGGGTGGGGGTGAATGGGTGACGGGCACTGAGGGGGGCACTTGACGGGATGAGCACTGGGTGTTATTCTGTATGTTGGTAAATTGAACACCAATAAAAAATAAATTTATAAAAAAAAAAAAACAAATCTCTATGACCTTTCCCTATCACTCAATAGGGGTGTAGGCTCAAAGGACCTGGCATTGTAAAATCAAGAGTTGATATTGAAACCAGAAAATCTGAGTTCAAATCCCCAGTTTAATTTTCTGTGTCTATGGACACACAGCCTTAGATTCTTCATCTGTCAAAGTATGATAATGATATCTACTTCATATGGCCATTTGGGGGGCTCCAACAGATGATTCTTTAAATAATCTCAATGGGTCATAAGATGGCGGCTTCTATAGTTAACTTCATTAAAAGCGAAAATCTCCCTCCAAATTATCTATTAAGATAGAAAAACTGGGACAACACTGTAGCTGGTTTAATTAACTCCAACCCTCAAAACATGTTTTTTATGGTCAATTTGTTAACATCTTCATATAAGAAAAGCAGCCAAAGTACCTATTTAATCAAGAGAAACTGCAGGACTGAAATGGGTTCACGTTGGTATTAATATCTCTAAACCATCGGGAGGAGCTAGACTGTTAGTTCATTTGCCAACATCAAGGGATTCATGAGATAGTCAGACACGAGAACAATTTTAGAACAAACAGATACTTTGATAGGACAGGGATATTAACAAAAGACTGCATTAGAAGAGAACGGTCTATTAACAAATTTGAAATTTTTATTTCAGAACTGCCTTTATGTACAGACATCATAAAAAAATGCACATACACTGGATCTCTTCCGAGGAACAGAAGCTGGAATTAAAAGTTAAAAGCATTTAAGAGAACTGAAATTGTCCCAGAGAAGTTCTGAGGATCATGCTTCTTTAAATGTCCTTGATAACCTCTTCGAGTTCTTCCTTTGTGAACATGTGGAAATTCTGGCCAGGCTGCACCGTGGCTAGCTGCAAAGAAAGCAGAGAAGGGTTGACGAGCTGGGCTCGATTACCATGCAGATAGCACTAGGTCAGGAGAAGCTGTGTTAGTGATGCAGCTGTTCATTAGGAACTAAGGGATCTGCTGTCCCAGGGATATCCTTTCCAGCCATGGGTTCCTAAAATAGCTCTCTGACTCCCAAATTAAAATTCTTATTGACCAAATTTTCTATTTTGAGGTTAACTTACCACATAATAGTTAACCAAATGCCTGGTGTCATTGTCATTTCTTGAAGTTACTTCAACAAGGATCAGAAAAGCAACAGCAAATTGCATAGCATCAGTACTTTTTTCTGTTAACGATTCCTTTAGAAATATATATATATATGTATATATATATATTTTTTTTAGAAATATTTTTAAAGTGTATTTACCCACTTGCAAGTGAAGCTTGTATTGTGTGACCTGTTTCTTGGCCACTCAGTGTTTTAATTTCCATCAGTAAAATGGGATAATAATAGCACCTAACTTATACAGAAGTTGTGAAGATTAAATGTGTTAACGTATGTAAAGTGCTTACAACACTGCCTAGAACATTATAATAAGTACTAAATAAAAAACAAAAGTATGAAATATTAAGTATATTTTGTTTTCTCTAAAATTGTTCATAAGGCAACTTAACCACCAAATTTTTGTTTTTTAAAAGGACTGGCCATGAGGGGCACCTGGATTGCTCAGTCAGTTAAGTGTCTGTCTGCCTTGAGGTCAGGTCATGATCCCAGGGTCCTGGGATCCAGCCCCACATCCAGCTGAGCTCTGGTTCTAGCTCTGGCTCCCTGCTCAGCAAGGAGTCTGCTTCTTCCTCTGCTGGTTCTCGCTCTCTCACTCTCTCTCCTCTCTCTCACTTTCTCTCTCAAGTAAATAAATTAAAAATATTTTCTTTTTTTTTTTAAAGAAGAAACTTTTTAAAAATTTTAAAATTAAAAAATAAAAGGACTGGCAATGAAAATGAAAGGATTCCATTAACACTGACAACAGGAAATCAGTTGTGATTGGCAGATATTCTAATAACCAACAATCCAGATACAATCTATTTAAGCAATAAAAGACCAAGGTCAGAAGATGGTTAGTTTCACATTTAACTAAAACTACCAACTTTTCCATTACCTCTGCTGATAACATAGTTCCCCATGTTTTGGAGGCAATACTGAGCAGTAGATATCATTTCCTCATATTGCCTTTTTCTTTAGACTTTAAAATTAAATATACTAGGGCATTTTTGGTAATATTCATTACTGATATTTAAATAATTTGAAAACTGCCAGAATTAGCATCATCCAATTACAGGATGTTTATTATTTTCTGCCTCATCTAAGGTAAAACAGAATACTGCACATTAAAAAATATATATTTTATTTATTTATTCATGAGAAACAGAGAAAGAGAGAGAGAGAGGCAGAGGCAGAGACACAGGCAGAGGGAGAAACAGGATCCATGCAGGGAGCCTGACATGGGACTCAATCCCAGGTCTCCAGGATCAGGCCCTGGACTGAAGGCAGCACTAAACCACTGAGCCACCAGGGCTGCCCAATACTGCACATTTAAAAAAAAAATATTTTATTTATTATCTATTTATCTACCTATTTATTTACAGTAGGGGTGGGGGGAGGGGGAGCCAGAAGGAGAGAGAGAGATTATCTGGAGCAGACCCTGTAAGCCCAACACAGGGCTCGATCTCATGATCCTGAGATCATGACCTGAGCTGAAACCAAGAGTCCAACACTGAGTGGACTGAGCCACCCAGTCTTTATATAATATCACTCATCACTAGATGAATAAAAAGAACCCCTTGGATTTGCATAATGAGAATTTTATTTATATAATATGAAAGATACTCTTCTATTTTTCTTATTCTTTCAAAAACCATTGTGAAGGGGCACTTGGGTGGCTCAATCAGATGAGTGTCCAAACTCTTGGTCTTGGCTCAGGTCATGATTTCATGGGTTGTAGGATCTAGCCCGATGTGGGGCTCTGCTATCATTTGGGAGTCTACTTAAGATTCTCTCTCTCTCTTCTCCCTCTCCCCATCCCTGTGCACTCACTCTCTAAAATAAATCTAAAGAACCAAACCAATCTGAAAAACACCAAAAAACACTACAAAAACAAAAACCCAACTGACCAATCTCTGTGAGATAGGTAAAACATACTTTCTTTCATTTAATAATAATTATTAAGCATGTGTGTACTAGTACAATTGTACTAGGCACTAGGGATCCAAAAATGAAGAAAATCTCTTATTTACTAAGGGTGCTGGATATCAAATACTTTCAATGTTAGGTGTTACAACAGAGCTAAGCATATGTAGAGGCACAAAAGGTTGACCTAAGGGAGGTCAAGAAGGTTTCAAAGAGAAGCAACTTTTGAATTTTTTTTTTTTTTTTAAGATTTTATTTATTTTAGACAGCAAGAGAGAGAATCCCAAGCAGACTCCATGCTGAGTGGGGAGCCCAAAGTAGGACTCAATCTTAAGACCCTGAGATCATGACCTGAGCTGAAATCAGGATTCAGATGCTTAACCAACTGAGCCACTCAGGCACCCGCTGAGTTGTGTCTTAAAGTTTTCCAAGAATGGGTCAGACAGTGGAGGAGCAGAAGGGCACACTGAATGTGCACAAATGCATAAAAGCATGAAACAAGATGATATATTTGCAAAACAAAGTGATTCTGAATGGCTGGAGAAGAGGTTGCTTACAGGATGAGATAAAAATGGGAAGGGGAAGTAGGAAAGACAGTATATTTACTGGTTATAAGTATAGGACCTCAAAATCACAGTGGGTTCAAATTTTTACTTTACCATTTACCAATTCTGTTATTTTGGGCATGATTCTACCCTCTCAAAGCCTCAGTTTCCTCTTTTGTAAAACGGGAATACCCATTTGGAGAGTTGCTGTGAAAATTAAAAGAAATAATTGCACGCAAAATGCTTAGCAAGGTGCCTAACAGATTAAACATTATGACTTAAGAATAGTGAATCATCATACTGTGGAAGAAGTTTCAAATTCATCTTGTGGTCAGGAGTTATAAAAATGTTTTTAAGTGGAGAACAAGCAAGACTAGATGTGTAATTTAGAAAATCAACTTCAGAAGCACAATGATGGGGGCTGTAATGAAATGAAGGATGGCAAGACTACAGGCAGGAAAACTAGTTAGGAAACCTCTGAAAATACACAGGGCAGGAGAAAACGGAGTTCCTGAACAAAAGAAGGCACTTGAAAGTAGGGAAGGAGAGGGGGCACAGACATGAGAATCATTTAAAAATGTGCAAAGTCAGTGAAGAGAATGATTCAGTGAAGGGAAAGGGGAAGCCAGAGTCGTCTCGGTTTCTGCTGTGAATGACAGGTACCCCAGTGGTGTCATCTGCCAGAATTAGGAAGATGAGAAGATGAAATGGTTTTCAGGAAAGATAATGTTTAGTTTTAGAATTGTCAAAATTTTGAGGAGTCTGCTTCAGAAAGGTCAAATAATAGGTCTAAAATTTGACCATGAAATCTGACCAACAGGAGTTATCTTAGCAAGAAGCAATCTGAGGGAAATATTAAGAACAGAAACAAATGGTAGCAACTGAGGAACAAATGATGGGGAAAGCGCTGAAGGCAATGAACAAAGTTCTGCTGGGAAGAGACCTAGCAATAAAGGTTACAAAAAAGGATGAACGGAATAGCTCTCAGCAATAAAATATAACAGACTACTGATAACACACAGGATGGATCTCAAAATCATTATGCTGAGTGAAAGAAGTCAGACACCAAAGAGCACACACTGTGTGACCCATTTACATGAAATTCTAGAACACCCAAAACAAATCTACAGGGACAAAAAGCAGATCAGTGGGAAGAAACGGACTAAAAAGGGACATGAGAAAACTTTTTGGATGACAGAAATGTTCTATACCCTAATTGAGGTGGCGATTATGTATTTGTCAAAATTCACTTAACTGTACACTTAAAATAAGTGCATTTTATAGTACAAACACTGTATCTCCACAAGGTTGGTTCTGTTTTTTTTTTTAAAGACAGGACATAGATAGGGGGAGGAGTTAACAAAAGTGGATTTTGTTTTGTTCTCTTTTATTTTTTAAAAGATTTTATTTATTTGAGAGGGACAGGAAGAGAGAGAACATGTCAGCACAGGTGGGGGAGGGGCAGAGAGAGAAGCAGGCTCCCAGCTGAGCAGGGAGCCCAGGACCCCAGGATCATGACCTGTGCCAAAGGCAGGCGCTTAACTGACTGAGCCACTGAGGTGCCCCTGTTTTGTTTTCTAAAAAAATATGTGACTTGGAAATTTTTTTTGTAGAGGAGAGGCTAGGGATCCAAGGGACAACTGATGGAGCAGGGGCCTAAAAGAGATGGAGGAAATGCTCTAGAGCAGTGGCTCCCAAATATCCGACTTTCTCAGACTGACCATCACACTCACCCAAGGAAAATTCAAAATACAGATTTCTGGGCCTCATTTCCAAAGACTGATGGACAGTTAGATTTAGAAACATCAGTACTGGTGGAGTAAATTGTCTTGGACAGCGAAGTGCCCTTTTGTTTAAATGTGAAAAAAACCACAGTCAGGTATTAATGCAGTTAATGATAGGAAGGAGACACGTCTGATGCTCTTTTCAAAGCAACACTGAAATTGAATGAGCCAAAAACCTTTGCAGTTTCAACTGAAACAAGCAGGCCTCAAAACTTTTTTTTTTTTTTAAGATTTTATTTATTCATTCATGAGAGACACAGAGAGAGAGAGAGGCAGAGACACAGGCAGAGAGAGAAGCAGGCTCCATACAAGGAGCCTGACGTGGGACTCGATCTGAGATCTCCAGGATCACGCCCTGGGATGAAGGTGGCGCTAAACCGCTGAGCCACCCGGGCTGCCCTCCATTAGTATTTTAATAATGTTTTAAAAGATTTTATTTATTTGAGAGAGAACGAGAGAGAGCAAGCATGGGGGGGGGGCAGCAGGAGAGGGAGAAGCAGACTCCCTGCTGAGCAGGGAGCCAATTGATGGGGGCTCGATCAGAGGGCTTGATCAATTGATGTGGGGCTCGATGGCAGGACCCTGGGATCACGACCTGAGCCAAAGGCAGACACTTGACTGAACCACCCAGAAACCCTCTATTAGTATTTTAATGTAGCCCAGCAATCCTTTTACTCATCCTGGTCTTCCTTTTCCCTATTCATAATGACTCTTCCAAATAGTTCCCATTCTCCTAAATTCCACTGTTGCATTCACCCACCCTCAGCAGATGATGTAACAATCACTAAGGAAATACAGGACCTCTTCTCTCCCAATTCACCTGCAAACCTACTTGATCTTTACTCACTACCACCTCCTTTTCTCCCATCTACTCTTAGCATCCTAAATAAGGGCAGTCAGAATCTGGTCCACAACCCTCCCATGTCACCCTTACCATCTCACTACCGTACATTTATCTTGAACCCCAACAGTCAGAAAACCCTCAAAGTTCCTTTTATAAGGGGGGCCTGGATGGCTCAGTGGGTTAAGATCCAACTCTTGGTTTCAGCTTAGATCATGATCTCAGGGTTGTGAGATAGAGCCCTTCATCATTGGGCTCCCCCTTCAGTGAGGAGTCTGCTTAGGACTCTCCCTCTCCCTTTGCCCCTCTCCACACTGTGTTCTCTTGCACAAGTATGCTCTCAAATCAATCAATCAATCTTTAAAAAAGTTTTTTCCTTTTACATACAATATTATTTCACATCTTTGAGCCTTTGCCCATGGCTGTTCCATTTTCCTAGAATCCCTTTTCTTCTATTCTTTAGCATCACCTCTTCCAGCCAGCTTTCCTAATGTCCTAGTATATTAGGACATATGTTCTTGTGACAATCCATTCTTATTACTATTATAGAAGTATTGTCTCAAGCTGTTATTATCTATATGGCCCCTATATCATACAGTATACTCCCAGAATGGGAACTGGATTTTCTGTCTGTATCCTTGGCATCTAGTATAGTACTGGACATATAATGGTTATTCAATATTAAGCTGAATGAGTTCTAATCTTTAAATCAATTCCTTCATTTATAATATGCCTTCCCTCTTTTAGTTTTCCATCACTAACCTCTGCTTTTGTTCCTTTTAGCATGCTTCTATACCCTAGTTTCTTCTCAGTGTCTAAAAGTTATTTTCAAGTCTTTTCTCATGCTTAAAAAGACAAAAAATCCCTTTCTTTAATGCTGCCTTCTGCGGATAGTAATAACTCCTTGAGAAAGGAGCCCACTCTTGTTTTGTCCACCTCCCTTCTACTCTTTAACACATCCAATTCTGGCTTCTGCTGTTATCACTTACTCAAAGGATAGTAATAACTTCTGAAGGGATGAATGATCTCCATCCATTCAACCTTTAGCAATGGGAGCTATGATATCCGAATAAAAATAATGGAACAAAAAATACCTCTATATTAGTTGCATTCAGCTTCTCCTCCATTACTTGCTTGAGGATGATGAGTGAAGACTTGATAGCTTCTTTCAGTGTCATAGACTTGAAACAAAAAGGGTAAGGAGAGTAGCTATTATAATTTAATTTCCACTTTCCTTCAAAGATTTCCCCTGTATCTCCCTGAAGAAATAACTTGGCAAATATTAATAAATCAAATGGCTTAGTAAGTACAGTGCATGACAAGTATCTCTAGAATTCAAGTAAACCGTTAATACATGTATTCAAAGGAAAAAAAAATCTTATTTTGAACCAGATCAAAGTCACCCACATTCATCTACATGATCTTTGAAAAAGTGGAAAGGGCTACATTTCCCTAGTTATCTTCTTTAATACAGAAGCAAGATAATATTGGGAATATTCTATGAATGAGAATTTCCAAATAATCTAAAAAGGTTGCCCATTGATTTGGCAAATCTGCTCTTGTACTGTTTTGAACCCATGAACCCAATTTTTTTCATACATAAAATCAAAACTACCAGGGGTTCATGGAAGCACGCACCCCTGTGTAAATCATATGAATGAGTATGGCAGCCTTCAACTACAACAATGAATTCCCCAAAACCAAGTTTTCCCAGCCTACAAGATAAAAAGTACCAAATACCTACTTGCTTCAAGAGCCAGACTAGGAAATATAATTATTATTATTTTTTTATAATTATATTTTTTCTTGTTTTTTATTTATTTATTTATTTGTTTGTTTGTTTGTTTATTTATTTATGATAGTCACAGAGAGAGAGAGAGAGAGAGAGAGAGAGAGGCAGAGATACAGGCAGAGGGAGAAGCAGGCTCCATGCACCGGGAGCCCGATGTGGGATTCGATCCCGGGTCTCCAGGATCGCGCCCTGGGCCAAAGGCAGGCGCCAAACCACTGCGCCACCCAGGGATCCCTGGAAATATAATTATTAAGTAAAGCTGTAAAGATAAAGAATAAACTGTGGTAAACCTACACGATGGTATACCACTCAGCATTAATTACTGTTAAGTACAAAAATGTGAATGCATCCTAAAAACAATATATTGAACAAAAAAGAGCAAACACAAAATACGAACTATATGAGTGTATTTATAAAAATGACAAGAACAGACAAAACTCATCTATAGTGGTAAGCGTGGTTACCAGGGAGGAAGAAAGTGACTGGAGAGGAGATAAGCATTTTAGGGAGTGAGGGAAGTAGTCTACATTTTGTTTTAGGTGGTGCTTACAAGGGTATATATAACCGTCAAACTCCTAGAACTTAACTTTTAAGGTCTGCCCACTGTACTGTATGTAAATTATACCCTGATTTTAAAAATAATAATAAAAGTTGTGAGAAGGCTCAATTACCTTGTGGTAAACTTCTTGCAAGGAGCTCTGGGCACCCTCTGAAGCAGAGCCAATTGCTCTAGCATCGCACTGTACAAAGGTTCCAGATGGGTCCATATGAAACCTACAAAACTCCCCCAAAGGGGGGGTGGTTAAAATGAAGCGTGGTGGCATTTTAAGAAACAAACATCTCACTGAAGAATATAAATGCTTGGCTCTGCAGCCAGGAAACCACCAAAATACTGAGGCACAGGTCCAAAGACATTCTGTGCCTAGAGAACCAGATCTTTCAAAAAGTGTTTAAACTAATAAATTCCTCAGAGATTCAGAAGTACAGATGATATAAATATTGCACCTGAGTAGGCTTACCTAAATAATATTTGAGAATAAGGAGCAAATCAATTTTCTAAAGCAAAGCTCTAAAATGCATCCTGACCATAGTAACAAAGTTACTTTTAATTCTTCCCAGAATTAGCAGTGGTGTCAATAGTTTTTCATAGAATCCCCAAATTTGTCTTTCTATATAAAGAGCACACAATCACTGAACTTTAGAGTTAGACGCCCCTCATTTTTTGTAATTCTATAATAATCTTTTCAGTTGATTTAAGCAAGTCCCCAACCCAAATTAAAAATTCTACCAAAAAAGAAACAGGAAAAAATGGCAAATTATTCTTACAGCTGAGGTCCTTTCTCATCAACTCCTCCAAATAACAGTGCTACTCCAAAGGGACGAGACTAGAACCAAAAAACAAGAGGTCTTAAGATAAATGGCTATTGAAGTAGGCGGTCAGAGGGGCTGAGAAAGGTATGTTCAGAAGACAAATATCCTGCATCCCTTAGAACAGCAAGAAAACTTGACACAAACACCACACTCACCATGGCACCTGGATCTGCATCTTCTTCACCAAACTGTAGAGCTAGATTGGACACAGCTTGAGTCACACTTTCCACTGTCATTGTCTCATTGTAGGTGAACCAATGGTTCTAGAAGAAGAGCAAAATGTGGTCTACCTCTTCTTTTTTTTTTTTTTTAAAGATTTATGTATTTATTTGAGAGAGAGAGCACATGTGGTGGAGGGCAGAGAGGGAGAGAGAATCTCAAGCAGACTCCCTACTGAGCACAGAGCATGATGTGGGGCTCACTCCCACAATACTGAGATCATGACCTGAGCTGAAATCAAGAGCTGGACGCTTAACCAACTGAACCACGCAGGTGCCCCTAAACAGTCTACCTTTTAAATAAGAAAAGCATTAAAGCAGCCCACCATCCCACTACACACATCCCTGTGAACTGTGATTGTAAACTGAATGCTCAGCTCCATTTCGTTTCCCTTAACACTAAATTCAAATGCTTGGGACTACATGAGGAAGAGAAATAGCTCTGCAAATAAACTCTGATCAAAAGGACTCTTAAGTAATGACAGACTAGAGGATGACTCCACTGAAAACCAGTTAACCCCTCATATAACCAAACTTAGTCTTTGCACAAAGTGAATGCTAACAGTTAAGTGCCACTTTCCCTCACAGACCTTATCCCATCATTGTGTTTATTGGTGCTTAATTTTTTTTTAAAGCTTTTATTTATTTGAGAGAGAGCATGCATGATGAGCAGGGCAGGGTGGGGGAGAGAGGAGAGAGAGAGGGAGTAGCAGACTCCCCACTGAACAGGGAGCCCCATGTGGGGATCAATCCCAGGACCCTGGGATCATGACCTGAGCCAAAGGCAGATGCTGAACCAACTGAGCCACCCAAGTGCCCCACTGGCGTTTAAATTAATGACTTACTTGTATATGTCTGACAGCAAAGTTGAAAATAAATGCAAAAAAAATTTTACCAATCAGATTTTTTCTTACTGGTCTATTCTCCAAGCAGAAAATATCAGTATTCCTGATCAGTATCTGTCACCTGGAACCATAACATTACTTGCCACAGGAGAGCTGTTATTTGCAAGCCCAACACCAAAGCAGTTGGGATAGAATGCCCTTTAGCTACATCCACTTCTTGCTATGGTGCTCCCACAAAAAGTCAATTAGGGAACAGAAGGCAGTGTAAAGCTTGCTTTATATAAGGCAAATCAAAAAGAAGCAAGAGACTGTCAGCACTATTTGTCAGTTTCCTTAAAGCTGCAATGGTTGGATGGCTAGACCCCAAGCCTCAGAAAGTTATAAACTAGGGATTCTATCCAAAACCACTCCCAACAGCTACATTTGATATTAACACAGATAACCCGCAAGATAGCCCAGGCAGCTATATCATCATTAACAAGGAACTCAAGCATCTTGGTAAAAAAGAGAGATGATGCTAATTTTACCTGTGTCTCCACTCTGGCTTTATCAATTAAAGTCTTAGCATCAGCAATTAGCCCACTCATGGCACAACCTGCAACGTAAAAGCAATAATGACCCAGGGGCCAAATCCTTGCAGACTCTTTCATCCACTCAGGAAATAACTGAAATACTGAAATGGAATCATGGCAGCCATATATAAATCCCATGGCAATATACCCAAGAGACAGATGGGAAATTATTTGATTATCTGTACTGAACACAAATATAATTATATTACAAATAAATAAAAAACCACCCACAATAACACAGAAGTCCAGTAAGATAGAAGACAGAAAAGAACAGCCAAACATGATTTTCCACATATTACATCCTTAAGCATCCCTTTAGCACTCTGTGACCACAATGCACTTTCAAAATAAGCAAACACTAGTATTCCAACAGAAGAAATAAAGATAAAAAATAACCATCTCACTATGAGCTATGGTGAAAGACCCTATGATAAAATCAAAAGCTTTTTCATCTTCCTGACCAAATACAAACCACATAGTTTAGAGAGAAAGTTTACCTAACGGTCCAAGACGCCAAAGTTATGGCTATTACTTTATATGCCATGACTCAAACTCTGTATCTCCAGCCTAAGCCTTATTCCCACATTTCAAACCTATAATGACACACTTAATATATCTCCTTGGACGTACCACTGACTCAAATCAAGTTCTTTCCCTTCTAGACTCCTTGGCCCTCACAACCAATCAGACCCCAAATTCTATCAATCTCTATCAAATTGACCTGTCTGGCATTAATCCTACTTTCTCCATTCTCTGGCTACTGCTTTGTTTAAGGCCCTCATTATTTCCATGTGGATTAAAGGAAATTTCTTACCTGGTCTCCCTGTTTCCAGTCTCAAACCCCTTCACTCTACCTGCAACCTTATTAATCAGAATGGCCTTTCTAAAATATTCATCTGATCATATTACCTCAATGCTTAAAATCTTTCTCATCAATGCAAAAGGATCAAGTTCAATCTCTTTACCATAGCATAATAAAAAGAACTTCCAACTATCTGATCCCAAGCTCACTTCTTGCTATATAGTCTGCCTCCCAATTATACCAAACTGTTTGTGCCAACGTATTCCATATTTTACACCATCAAGGGTTTCTATTCTAACCACAGTGCTCTCCCTTGCTATACCCAAACACTTGTTCACTTGGTGAACACTTCCTGATATTTTGCAATTCAACTCAGCTCAAGCTTCACCTTTATAGAATCCTTTTCTCAACACCCACTACCATTGGCTCTAGACAAAACTAATTATTTCCTCCTTTGTACCCCCACTGAGCACATACTATAGCCTTTCTTAATACCTTACATCACTCAACTGCATATTCTTATTTACATGTCCACCTTCACCATTAGGCTGTATGTTTCTGAAAATACAAGGACTATGTCTCATTTCTCTCTGTATCCCTGATGACTAGCATGCTTCTGGCACACAGCAGGTTCTCAATTTGCTAAAGTGACACTGATCTATCTCCAAAAGACAGGTGACTTGAGTTAAAATAGAAACAATGTTCTAATCTTAAAAGATTAAATCTCAGTTTCTATATCCATGAAAGAAATAATGTCAAGCTCTCAGAGTCACCAGGGCATTTGGTTCTAAGGCCTTCAAGTAATTATTTTACTGATTTTACTGATGTTTCATTAATAAGATGACTAGGAGGTTAAGAAAATTTGGACAGCCAACTAAAATACCACGCTATAAATAAGCAGAACTACTCACCCTGTAATACTATAATGATGCCAGAAGCTAAGGCAGGAGAATTTAAAGAGACCAAAAAAAAAAAAAAGTGCTGCAGTGTGGGTGAGGGATGTAGAGGGTGGCAGAGAGTAAAAAGATAAATCTGAAAACAGAGGAAGAGGACGGATCTGCTCAAATATTCTTATGCTCTGTGAATCTTAGTCACCCTAAAGAGCTTTAAGAATTCCTCTTTTTAGTGGACACCTCTAGTTTTCCACATGATCCCTCTCATGGTTTTCTATCAGGATTAACATTATGCATCACTGAAGACCCAACCATCATAGGGAGCTGGCCGATTCAACCTTTACATAGTTCAACAACCATCATACATGCCAAGTCTAAATTTGAAGGAGAAAGGAACTTCTGGGAGTAGGTGAGCTCTACAGCTGCTTCCTACTATTATATTATGCACACTACCTGAAAAACCATAGCTAACAAAGGAATAAGATATTCATCTAATATGCGCCTCCCTTGGAAAGCCAAAGAAGACTAACCCAAGCCAGATCCTACAGAACGGCTTTCCCCTACTCCTTACCTATGTGAGCATCGATCTCTACAATTTTCTCAATGCTGCTTGGCTCCATGAGTGGGGAGGTAATTCTCTTCTCCACAGCTAGGCATACACCCTCTGATGTCTGGATCCCAATGGCTGTAGAACCAAGCTAAAAAGAAACGTGTTATGGTTATCGTGTACAGGTTAAAGAACAGTCTCACATACTCACCAGGGGTCTCTCTGAATAACTTCACAAGACACAAGTTTCAAGTCATATCTAGTATGCAGACCCCTAATAAGTAATGTAGTATTCCTATCTATGGCAAGAGCACTAATTTACAGAATTTTGTTCTTCTAACGGGAAAGTTCACTAAGTTCTTAAAAATATGTGGGAAAGGATCAACTCTAATGCCAATATTTTGGAGGAGCAGATTCTAAAGTTCTAAACAGGCATGCAAAAAAACAATAAAACTCTAATGTTTTTCTTTTCACCTCTGCCATCTTGACTTGTCCCAAACGCTATTATTTCTCAAATTTACGTGACCTCCAGAAAAGTAATGTATTTTAAAAAGAAAAAAAAAAGGAAGAAAAAAAAATCACAACACCCATTACCAACATAAAAATATTAACTTAATCTTTTGAGGTCACTAGCAGTTCACAATATAGCTTAATTTCATCTCTCCATTTCCATGGCACCATCCTAGTCACCACCCCTCTGTATTTCTTTATCTACAAAATACATCAAGAAGAATAAACATATTAATATATAAAAGGCTTAAAATGGTGCCTGGTGCCTAATAAATGAATAATAATTTAGTCATTCTTCTTATATGCCTAGATTACTTCAATAGCCTCCTACTTAGGCTCCCCTACTTAATCTTTCTCTTAATGTATATTTCATGTTATGGCCTGACTGATCTAATAAAATGCTATTTTCATTATACTTCTCTGAAGAATTAACATCTCCCTATTTTGTCTGTAACATAAAATCCAAATAAGCTTCCAGAGCCCTCAAAACCTAATCTCACTCTTCTCTTCCAACTTTATTACTCAGTATTCTCCAAAAAAATCCACCAGGTATAGCCTAACCCGTTTTCTCATGCTATATTATCTCCTACCCTTGCACTTCTGCTCATGCAGTCTCTCCCCTTGAATACAATCTTCTGACTATCCAAATCCCACCCACCATTCATAAAGCCTTCCATGACTAAATGTGCTTTTTCCTCTGAATTACCATTATTATTTAGTTAGTTCTACAAACCAATGCCTGCCAGTGCAAGCCACCAGACTGTTATTGCAAAGGAGTCCAAAGAATTCCACGAATCATTATGCATAACACGTTTAACATGTCTGCACACTGATCATGTCTCATACATAGATGTACTACTTTTCAAATGGGTAAAGTTGTGACTTTAAGTGTTTTTAAATGCACATACCAATTTTTTATTATATAATATCTTAATCAGTGTTTGCATGCATAACTCTAGGAGATGAACTATAAAAGAATTTTATGTAAAAAAAAATGAGTATTCATACTTCTAGTTAAGGTATAGACTGAACACACACATTAGCTCTACTCCTTTCCCCAGCCTGGTAATAGTACAAGATTAAAGGCTGGGGGGTGAGGGGAGGAGATAAACAAATATACTGGGACAAAGAGAATGGGCAAAGACATGCAACAAAATTTCGAAGAAGATGAGTTAGTGATAAATTACTTAGCAGATCTGTGAATTCTGAATCCTAAACCAGTGGTAAAGAAAATCAAGAAACTATCTGATTTATATCATAGAACCCCCCAAAAAAGGAAATGGTGGCAACAAGACCTCTGGCAATAGAGGAGCTAAAAAAAATTGTGAGATCAGTTCAATGTCTACCTAAGAAACAGATTTCCAGATCCCTGTCCCTGTGCTGTAACGCTAGATAATGGCCTCACCCTAACTCCTGTAGAAGACTCTGGAGAGGGTAAAATAGAGTGGTCTCTGGGTTGGGGGACACTAAGCACAGTCAAAGACTACAGTGAAAATAGGGGCATTAAGTAAAAATTGACAAGCTTAATGTTAAGAACCTCAGCCTTTCCCCGTTCAGCTCTCAGAAACTAGTTGAAACGCTCTTCAGGCATGAAATGAGAAGGGGCAGTTTTCTCTAGAGCAGTGATTTTCAAACTTCTGAGCACTTCTGCTCTTTCTCTCAAATACATAAATAAAATCTTTAAAAAGGGGGCGCCTTGGTGGCTCAGCAGGCCTTCAGCTCCAGTCATGATCTCCAGTTCCTGGGATTGAGCCCAAATGGGGCTCCCAGCTTGGTGGAGAGTGCTTCTCCCTCTTCTTCACCTCTCCCTCTACATGTGCATGCTCTCTAATGAATAGATTAAAAAAAAAAAATTTAAAAAAAAATCTTTAGGGGCACCTGGGTGGCTCAGTGGTTGAGCATCTGCCTTTGGCTCAGGTCATGATCCTGGGGTTCTGGGACTGAGTCCCACATCAGGCTCCCCATGGGGAGCATGCTTTTCCCTCTGCCTGTCTTTGCCTCTCTTTCTGTGTCTCTCATGAATAAATAAAAAATCTTAAAAAAAAAATTCTTGGAGTGCCTAGGTGGCTTAGTCAGTTATGTGTCTGACTCTTGATTTCAGCTCAGGTCATGATCTCAGGGTCAAGGGATCAAGCCCTGCATCAGGCTTCACGCTCAGCAAGGAGTCTGCTTGAGATTCTCTCTCTCTGTCCCTTCCTAGGCTCACTCTCTCTCTCAAATAAATAATTAAATCTTTCAAAAAACTCCTTAAAGAAAAAGAATATATTTCATCCATTAAACAAGAATAGGACACTAATAAGAAAAAGGAAAAAAACAAAAGAGCTTGGAATTTAAAAACACTTTCTTATGAAACTACTGGAGAACCTTTACCAAACTGAAGGAATACATGAAAAGAAAAAAGGATGACACATGGGAGCTTACACAAGAGGGAGTCAAAGGGAAATCCTAGGGTGATATTGACCGAATATGAATATATACAGCTGTGCAGTATCCCCAGAGAACTAGTCCAGACTGGAGCAGGTCAGAAGGCTCAAAGATATATTTAAGAACTTTTTTTTTTTTTAAGATTAATTTATTTGTCTGAGAGGGAGAGAGAGCTCTTGTGTGTGCATGCAAAAGAGGGGAAGGGGCAGAGGGAGAGAATCTCAAGCAGACTCCCCACTGAGCTCAGAGCCTGACTTGGGGCTTGATCCCACCACCCTGAGATCATGACCTGAGCCAAAATCAAGAGTAGGATGCTTAACCAACTGAGCCACCCAGGCACTCCTATTTAAGAATCTTTAATAGGGGGATCCCTGGGTGGCGCAGCGGTTTGGCGCCTGCCTTTGGCCCAGGGCGCGAGCCTGGAGACCCCGGATCGAATCCCACGTCGGGCTCCCGGTGCATGGAGCCTGCTTCTCCCTCTGCCTGTGTCTTTGCCTCTCTCTCTCTGTGTGACTATCATAAATAAATAAACATTTAAAAAAAAAAAAAAAAAGAATCTTTAATAGGCTATTTCAAGTGCCTGGGTATTTTGAGAGACTTTGGGGATGATTTTGTGATATATAAATATTAAATTAAGCACATTTTTTTTAAAAAAGAGAGTACTCAACTCCCAGGAAAATACTGTGCAGAAATGGGAAAATGGCTTACCTGTGAATAGTACTTACACAATCATACAGATAAAAATGTTGACTAGTGATCTTACAAAATTATGCTAAATATGATATATATATTGAGTGGGTCACCTTACCCCCACCACAGTAGGAAATTGTGTGTATGTCTATCTGTCTGTCTATGTGTGTCATTGGGGCAGAAATTATCACGCTCCACAATATAAAGTCTGTGGATAATACCTAAACAAAACAAACAAACAAAAATATGTAAGTCTGTGCTAGAAATATGAAGTTAATGCCAAGAAAATCATCAGCTAAAAGATTTTAAGTGTTGTTTTTGGGAAACTGAAGCTAAAGGGGACAGTCTTCAGGGACTGCTGTTTTTTAAGAAGTTTTTGTAATTGTTTTATCTTTTGACTCTGAAACTACATGCAGTTATACCTTAATAAAATTTTTAATCAGAAAATATTATCGTTGAATTTAATTTGGCACTTAGTTGTTCTCTAGTTGTTTTATATATTGTGTATTGCTCTTAAATCTCCAACTGAACAGGACAGAATTCATACCTACTTTTAAATTTTATCTAGTGAAGTTGTTCTCAACCAGGGGCCACTTTACTCTCTGGAGGACATATATCTGGAGAGGAAAGTCTTGAGACATTTTTGGTTGTCATGGTGGAAATATATTGCTACTGGCATCTAGTGGGTAGAGACCAGTGATCTTGCTAAACATTCTACCTTGCACAGGATGGTCCCCCAACAAAGAAATACCTGGTCCAAAATGTCAGTCCCTGGGTACTATAATTATTTTGTGGATGAAATATTCTCATATTACAAGAATAAGTTCTCAGCATATTCAATTTGGCCTCCACTTAAATAACTTCCTAAGCTTCCACTCAAAAAAGGATTAATAGTTTCAAGACAGTCTACTTTATAAAATATATCAAAATCAAGATAATTTTCTTTTGAACATTTACACTTACCCCCAGATGTTTCATTATTAAAGTTCTGCCTAAACTTCACCCTAACCCTTGATGGGAACTGGGGAAACGGAGAAGCAAAGTGAGAGAACATTTAACTTTACGTAGTTATTTCTTTAGTATTTTAATTATAACCAATGTCCAGATCCTCAGTATAATACATTAATTTTGATACTGCCACAAATTATTCCCCCCCCACAAAAAAAACCTACTCCAAAGGCAATTTTTTTCCATTTCTGCTGGCTGTATCTCACTCATGCCATCCATACAGTACCTTCAAATGACAATTTCTACTTGTCAGCCATTCCTAGTCATTTCTCCAGCTCCTTTCATACTACTGAATATTTAAAGTTATCAAATTGCTTTCTCACTGGCAGCTCATAAATTGTTTAAATACCAGGTAGTTGGGCAGCCCTGGTGGCGCAGCGGTTTAGCGCCGCCTGCAGCCCAGGGCGTGATCCTGGAGACCGTGGATCAAGTCCCATGTCAGGCTCCCTGCATGAAGCCTGCTTCTCCCTCTGCCTGTGTCTCTGCCTCTCTCTCTCTGCAGCTCTATGAATAAATAAATAAAAATCCTTAAAATATATATAAAAAATAAATTAAAAAAATAAAAATAAATAAATACCAGGTAGTTTAAATACCAAAAAGCCTGAATTTTCACACAGGTTAAGTCACATCTATTAAAGGCCACATCACTATTTCTTAGTCCAACATAGGGCTAGGGATCGGATGCCACCTACCTATCTTTAAGCAATCTAGGAAATCACAGTAAGGAGCTTAACGGAGAAACCCTCCAAAACTGAGGATTATTCTTAGTTTGCACGTCTAGGTGGGACTGCTGTCTTTAGAGACTCAAAATAAATGCCACAGCTTGGAATTGTGATAGTTTCATACTTCATAGTACTGTATGGTTTCAATATAGGACAAACGTGATCAGAAACAGAAATAGGCACTTGTAGCTGGCCTACCATTTTCTGTCCCACCATCCATCATAGTGCATCTACTTCTACTTCTATGTCTTCAACTAATCAAAATCTTTTGCCATTTTCCAGATTCTCTTATTAACCATTTCCTACAATACATTCTTTTTAGAACTGGTAACTTAGAGAGAAACACAGGAGCTCTCTTCAATTATGTGAAGAACGGTCTTTGGAGAAGGTTTATACACTCTGTATGGTTTCAAGGGCAAAACTAGGACCAAACAAAAGAAACTTCAGGAAGCTAGACTTCATTCAATATAAGGATAAATTTCTTAGCCCTTATGAATTGTTTTCTAACAGGATGAGCCATCTTGCAAGAAAATACTCTATCACTAGGACTCTATAAATATTTGAGGATGTAGAGGTGATTGAAGTACAGAGTGAAGGGTTGGACTAGATTAGGGATTCTCAACCCTTGCTAGATATGAGATTCACTGAGGGAGTCCTTAAAAATACTGATGCCTGGACTTTACCCTGGACAGTCTATATCAGAATTCAGACTATCCATAGTTCAACAAATGCAATGCCATGTGATAACTAACTTTAAGTATAGCTTACTTACTAATTTTTTTACAGGTGATCATTTAAATGATTTGTTCAAAATGTCTCCCAGGTGCTAACTCTAGACTTCTATACCCCTCTCTGTATGACCAAGAAGATTACGAACACAAACGTGTCCCTCCAGCCCCACAAGAAAAAAGCTATATAATATATAATTATGAAGCAGTTATCTGTTCAAAAGGTTTTAGGAATGATATTGAAATTGCTATCAGGGAGGAGGGGCAAGATGGCGGAAGAGCAGGGTCCCCAAATCGCCTGTCCCCACCAAATTACCTAGATAACCTTCAAATCATCCTGAAAATCTACGAATTTGGCCTGAGATGTAAAGAGAGACCAGCTGGAATGCTACAGTGAGAAGAGTTCGCGCTTCTATCAAGGTAGGAAGACGGGGAAAAAGAAATAAAGAAACAAAAGGCCTCCGAGGGGGAGGGGCCCCACGAGGAGCCGGGCTGAGGCCGGGGCGAGTGTCCCCAGGACAGGAGAGCCCCGTCCCGGAGAAGCAGGAGCTGCACCAACTTTCCCGGGTGGAAAGGGGCTCGCAGGGAGTTGGAGCAGGACCCAGGAGGGCGGGGATGCCCTCGGGCTCCCGGGGACACTAACAGACACCTGCGCCCCGGGAGAGTGCTCCGAGCTCCCTAAGGGCTGCACCGGAGCAGCTCGGAGTGGCTCGGGAGCGGCTCCAGGGAGGGAGCTGCAGGGCGGGAGCGCAAATCCAACAGCGCAGGCCCCGGAGCACAGGGCGCCGGGACACAGCCCAGGATCTGGCCTCCCCCCGGGACAGGCAGAGGCCGGGAGGGCCCAGGACAGCAAGGACGCTCCTGCCCCGAGCTGAGCAGATCAGCGGCCCCGCCCCGGAGCCTCCAGGCCCTGCAGACGGGGAGAGCCGAGAGCTGAGAGCCCCGAGCCCCGTAGTTCCTGCGGAGGCTGAATCCAGGCTTCCAGAGTTGCCATAGCAACTGCGGCTGTTCCTCCTGGGTCCTCACGGGGTAAACAACCCGCTGAGCCCTGCAGCAGGCAGGGGCAGAGCAGCTCCCCCAAGTGCTAACACCTGAAAATCAGCACAGCAGGCCCCTCCCCCAGAAGACCAGCTAGACGGACCAGTGATACTCCCCCGTGTTCCAATACAACTTGTTTTTGGCCACTCTGCACTGAGCAAAATGACTAGAAGGAAAACCTCACCTCAAAAGAAAGAATCAGAAACAGCCCTCTCTCCCACAGAGTTACAAAATCTGGATTACACTTTAATGTCAGAAAGCCAATTCAGAAGCACTATTATACAGCTACTGGTGGCTCTAGAAAAAAGCATTAAGGACTCACGAGACTTCATGACTGCAGAATTTAGATCCAATCAGGCAGAAATTAAAAATCAATTGAATGAGATGCAATCCAAACTAGAAGTCCTAACGACGAGGGTTAACGAGGTGGAAGAACGAGTGAGTGACATAGAAGACAAGTTAATGGCAAAGAGGGAAACTGAGGAAAAAAGAGACAAACAATTAAGGGACCATGAAGACAGATTAAGGGAAATAAAGGACAGCCTGAGGAAGAAAAACCTACGTTTAATTGGGGTTCCCGAGGGCGCCGAAAGGGACAGAGGGCCAGAATATGTATTTGAACAAATCCTAGCTGAAAACTTTCCCAATCTGGGAAGGGAAACAGGCATTCAGATCCAGGAAATAGAGAGATCCCCCCCTAAAATCAATAAAAACCGTTCAACACCTCGACATTTAATAGTGAAGCTTGCAAATTCCAAAGATAAAGAGAAGATCCTTAAAGCAGCAAGAGACAAGAAGTCCCTGACTTTCATGGGGAGGAATATTAGGGTAACAGCAGACCTCTCCACAGAGACCTGGCAGGCCAGAAAGGGCTGGCAGGATATATTCAGGGTCCTAAATGAGAAGAACATGCAACCAAGAATACTTTATCCAGCAAGGCTCTCATTCAAAATGGAAGGAGAGATAAAGAGCTTCCAAGACAGGCAGGAACTGAAAGAATATGTGACCTCCAAACCAGCTCTGCAAGAAATTTTAAGGGGGACTCTTAAAATTCCCCTTTAAGAAGAAGTTCAGTGGAACAATCCACAAAAACAAGGACTAAATAGATATCATGATGACACTAAACTCATATCTGTCAATAGTAACTCTGAACGTGAACGGGCTTAATGACCCCATCAAAAGGCACAGGATTTCAGACTGGATAAAAAAGCAGGACCCATCTATTTGCTGTCTACAAGAGACTCATTTTAGACAGAAGGACACCTACAACCTGAAAATAAAAGGTTGGAGAACCATTTACCATTCAAATGGTTCTCAAAATATACCCTAAAAACTATAGAACACTTCTGAAAGAAATTGAGGAAGACACAAAGAGATGGAAAAATATTCCATGCTCATGGATTGGCAGAATTAATATTGTGAAAATGTCAATGTTACCCAGGGCAATTTACACGTATAATGCAATCCCTATCAAAATACCATGGACTTTCTTCAGAGACTTAGAACAAATTATTTTAAGATTTGTGTGGAATCAGAAAAGACCCCGAACAGCCAGGGGAATTTTAAAAAAGAAAACCATATCTGGGGGCATCACAATGCCAGATTTCAGGTTGTACTACAAAGCTGTGGTCATCAAGACAGTGTGGTACTGGCACAAAAACAGACATATAGATCAATGGAACAGAACAGAGAACCCAGAAGTGGACCCTGAACTTTATGGTCAACTAATATACGATAAAGGAGGAAAGACGATCCACTGGAAGAAAGACAGTCTCTTCAATAAATGGTGCTGGGAAAATTGGACATCCACATGCAGAAGAATGAAACTGGACCACTCTCTTGCACCATACACAAAGATAAACTCAAAATAGATGAAAGATCTAAATGTGAGACAAGATTCCATCAAAATCCCAGAGGAGAACTCAGGCAACACCCTTTTTGAACTTGGCCACAGTAACCGGAGAGGGACAAACAGTGTATGTTCTCATTCATTTGGGGAATATGAATAATAGTGAGGGGGAATATGGGGGAAGGGAGAAGAAATGTGTGAGAAATATCAGAAAGGGAGACAGAACATAAAGACTTCTAACTCTGGGAAATGAACTAGGGGTGGTGGAGGGGGAGGAGGGCGGGGGGTGGGGGTGAATGGGTGACGGGCACTGAGGGGGACACTTGACGGGATGAGCACTGGGTGTTATTCTGTATGTTGGTAAATTGAACACCAATAAAAATTAATTTATAAAATTAAAAAAAAAGAAATTGCTATCAGAATGGTTAGTTCTTGGTTAAAAGGAGATAAAGAATATTTTCTAAAGAAATAGCTAATACACATTCACTCCAATATTTTGCCAGCAAAGCATTAGGTTGCCATGAAATTTCAAAAACTTGCCACTTGATAGTATACCTTGATAGCTTCAATGGCATATTCCACTTGAAATAATCTTCCTTCAGGAGAAAAAGTATTCACGCCCCTATAATTTAAAAAGAAGTATTAAAAATTGGCAGAAAAAATAAGCATAGATACATGAAACTCAAGTTCCTTGATATTTAGCTCAAATGGCTACAAGATGTAAATATCATTATTCTTTCACCCAAAACAATCTGTAGCTATTTTTTGTACATTTTTGTAAAAGCTTTTGTACAGCTTTTTAAGAAAATGGAACTTATGTATGGAATACTTCTGTCCTATTCCCAGAGACTTCAAACTGATCAAATGAGAGCAGGTGACCTTTTGCCTCAACCCTGAATCAATCTGTAATTCCTTCAATAAATTCATGCCCCAAAACTACCAGGCGATTCCCAAGAAAATAAGTATTTATTCTTATCCTCTTCTCATTATGGATTTGCTGTTAATATCTTACTTTTTAGTATAAGTCAGCTATAAGCACATTTATTTATTTGTAGCAATTACTATTAGTATCTTAACAGACGGAGGTCTGTGTAGTTCCTAAAGCCTAAGCTAATTTATTTATTCCATACAGATTTATATCCATTACATGCCAGACTTCTTTTTCTCTCCAAAACACTTCCCCACCTTTCCTTGCTACAGGCTTTTGGAAATCACTATAGAGAAGACGCATCAGTCATGGTCTTAGCTACAGAAGTTTTCAGAACACAATGGACACTTCAAAAATACTTGAACAAATGAATGAAAATAGTTACAATCCTTGGTTTATGGAGTTTTGATTTTATAACATGTAATATGATGTGTAATACAGCATTTTCAAATTTATCAAAAACGGTCTTCAAAAAAAAATTCATACATATCCCCCAAATATAAACAGGTAATAATACAAGTTAACACTTAACTGCATATCTACTATATGCCTCGCATTGTTATAAACCTTTAAATGATTACCTCACTTAATCCTCAAAATAATCCTACGAAGTAGCATTTTGAGATAGATACTATTTCACAGATGAGAAAGTTGAGACACATAGAAGTTACTTAATTTGCCCAAAGTCCCTCAGCATATAAGCAGCAGAGGTGGAATTAGAATTTACACAAGTGACTGCAGAGTCCAAGCTTTTAGCTATTTCACTATACCACCTCTGGGAATTATTACTCTGGGTTAAGTGAGGAGTGAAAGGAGAATCCCACCATCCCAGTATCCCCTTTCCCAGAGGTCATTTAAAAAGTTCAGAACCTGGGGCACTTGGGTGGCTCAGTTGGTTAAGTAACTGCCTTAGACTCAGATCATGATCCAGTCCTGGGATCAGGCCCCACACCTGCTTAGCAGGGAGCCTGCTACTTCTCCCTACCACTCCCCCTGCTTGTGCTGTCAGAGAAAAAATAAAATATTTTTTAAAAAGTTCAGAACTCTAAGGAACAACTTTTTTTAAAAAAATATTTTATTTATTTATTCATGAGAGACATAGAGAGCAGACACAGGCAGAGTTCGCAGAAGCAGGCTCCCTGTAGGGAACATCCCTGGATGGAGGACTTGAGCCCAGGACCACGACCTGAGCCAAAGGCAGAAGCTCAACCACTGAGCCACCCAGGTGCCCCTCTAAGGAACAACTTCTTTAAAAAAGATTTTATTTATTTATTTGAGAGAGAGAGAAAGCATAAGCACAAGGTGGAGTCGAGGGAGAGGGATAAGCTGACTCCATGTTGAGACGGGAGCCCCATGCAGAACTCGATCCCAGGACCCTGAGATCAGGACAAGCTGGTCAGAGGCTTAACCAACTAAGCCACCCAGGCACCCAATGAACAATTTTTAAAAATGACTGAGTGAAAAGCGAGGACAGAAGACCTGGACTTAAGTTCTAGTTCTGCAACTAGCTGTAATTCCCTCAAATGAAAAGCAAAAACCAAAACCTATGCTGCCTCTGTTACAAGATAATTAATACTGAATTTCATAGAGTATGAAAGAACTTTGTAAAGTGTAAAGTACTATGTGAATATAGCATTTTTACTCTAATTCAAGCACTTCATCCTAGTGAGGTACTACCAAATCCTAACATGGGCTCTACTCTTAGCCCTCGAACTCAAACTTTACTGTTTCCCTGGGTCATTTTATTTACACTAAGCACCAACTACTTTCAAATCTCTATTACCAGTTTGACCTCTTTCCTAATTTAAATGCCTCCTAAGCATTTTTAAAAGGATATCCCATTAGTACCAAACACTCAACATTTTCCAACATGAAATCTCTCTCTCTCTAAGATTTTATTTATTTATTCATGAGAGACACAGAGAGAAGGCAGAGACACAGGCAGAGGGAGAAGCAGACTCCGCACAGGGAGCCCGATGCAGGACTCAGAACTTGATCCCAGAACTCCGGGATCACGCCCTGAGCCGAAGGCAGACGCTTAATCACTGAGCCACTCAGACATCCCAGAAATATCTCTTTAAATCCAGCCATCCTTGCAAAATCAGCTCCATCTCCTGCCATTCCTATTTCATTTCTATTTTAAAACATCTCCAATCTCCCAGTTCCCCAAGCTAGAAAGTTATGAATGATCTGACCCATTTCTCTCCATCTCTCATATTAACAATATGCCAAGTCACATCAATTCCTCCCACATAGTAACACAACACTCTTCTTTCAGTCTCAACGCCCTCATTACCTTTCACCTATTATAATAGCCTTCTAACAGGTATTGATTCATTCTTTCCTCTATTTCAGTCAAATAATCTCTGCAAACACAATTATAAAACTTCTTAACAGGAAAATTAATAGCATATGGTTGCCCAAAGAGTAAGACCTGAACTCAACCACACATTAAAAAAAAAAAAAAAAACCATTCAGAATCTAGCACCATCCTGTTTTTCCCATAGTTCACCATTCCCATACATACATGCATCATACATGCCACCCAGAACAGAATTTTCCCAAACATGAACTGTGCTTTCCCACTGCCCTCCCTTTTTCATACTATATACTTGGCCTCAAAAACTACTGACTTTTACAGTCCATATTTATTAAAATCTTCCTCTTTCTCAAGACTCAGTTTAAATACCAGCTCCTTTTTAAAGTTTTCAATAATGCTCTAATATTGAATGCAATCTCTCTCAACAAAACTCCTATAGTACTTGATTTGAATTTCTCTAATGACATGAATACACTTCCAATTTACACTATAATTATTTTTGTAAATAGTTCTTTAAAAGACAGTCTCCCATATGAGAGTAAGGATCTTAATTTTGTTCACTGCTGTATGGTCAGCAACTAGACAGTGCCTTGTACACAGCAAGCATTCAAGTATATTAGCTAAGAGAATTTTAAAAAGCTGTATTTTAGGCATTCTTGGAAAGATACAAAAATGAGTAACACAAAGCAGTCACTGAAGATGTTAAAGATCACAAAATCTTAATAAAGGTTTTCTAATAAATCAGGATAACAATTTCTATCATGTACACCCTAACAAAATTCTATCACCTAAAGAAGATTCCTTTTAATGCTCTGGGATATACATACTACCAGTCATTTTATAGGACAGTAGAAAAAGCTGTCAGTTTTTAAACTTCACATTATCTATTCTAAGAGTCAGTAAAAGAATAAAAAAGTGGTAGTTACAGGTGTTAAAATTTTGACAGGGTATGGGGATCCCTGGGTGGCGCAGTGGTTTGGCGCCTGCCTTTGGCCCAGGGCGCGATCCTGGAGACCCGGGATCGAATCCCACATGGGGCTTCCGGTGCATGGAGCCTGCTTCTCCCTCTGCCTGTGTCTCTGCCTCTCTCTCTCTCTCTCTGTGACTATCATAAATAAATAAAAATTAAAAAAAAATTTTTTTGACAGGGTCAACGTATACTTTCACAAGAAATGCAGCTCCTAAGGACCTAGTAGGAAAGGAAAATCTGCCCTTCTGGGCTTTAAAAAAAACAAAAAAACCCCAAAAACACAAACCTTCTATAGTAGATGAAAACCTAACTGACCAAAACAAAAACTGAAAGTGAAAATGTCTACAGCTTAAATATGCACAATTTAATATTATTTAGTACTTCCAAGCCCTGAAAACTGTTGCTTTTTAAAATAAATACAACAATTTCACAACCTTAATTTCAAGAACAGATCTGGCCCTAACACACAACTAGCTTACTATAAGCTTCTTAAAAAGTCAAAAAAGCCCAGGTCTGGTCGACTCAGCGTGATGAGGAAACTCTTGAGAACCACTCTAAATTCCAGTTCCTATAAAATCAGACTCCACACTCTTATCTGTGCAGAACTGAGAATGCCTCGGCGCTTTTGCATAAAAGTACACATCCCAGCACGCCCTCCTACATTTCAAAGAAAAGGCCGCTGTATTTCCACGACTAAGAAACAAAACGAGGTTGTTTCCCTAGAAGGAAAGGGGAGCTGAAATTATGAAAGCCATTAAAGAATCTCTAGTTGCTTTTTCTTTCAGGCAACACGTGCGCTTTTTTTTTTTTTAAAGGCAGTCATAGCACGAAATGATGAACGGGGGAGGCGGCGACCCCTGGACTCCTCCGGGTTAAAGGTCGGAGCCCCGGCCCCTCGGCCTCTCTGAGCACAAAGCGCAGCTTCCCGCTTCCGCACCGAGCCGGGACCCAGCAGTGACTCAGCGGTAGGATCCGGCGCGAGTCTAGCTCGGGGAATCGCCCCGGGCGGCCGGGGACGGCAAGAGATGCCCCGGGCCGGGCCAGACTCGGGTTCCCGGGGCGCCCCATGACACGGCAGAACCCAGGCCGGGCCGGGCCCCGGTCCTGCCCGCCCAGAAGCCCGGCCCCACCCCCCCCACCCCGACGCACAGACCTGTCGTACTCAGACCGAGTGAGGAACATGGCGAGGGCAGAAGGCGGCAGCGGCTACGCGGGGTCTTTGAGAGCCAACACGAGCCCGCCGGCACCCAGCTCGCCCGCACCACCACAGCGCGAGGCCCTGCTCCCGACCGCGCGTGCGCTTGCGACCCCTTCAGCCCGCCCGCCTGTGACGGCCTCCGATTGGTTAGTCGTAGTTCCCGCCGACGTGATTGGTCCAACGTGCCTCCCTGCCAGGCCGCGGTTGGTTTCGGGGAGGGCGGGACCAGGGCCGAGTGGCCGCTTCACAGCGCTGGTGGTTGCTAGGGGCGCTCCGCGCCGCAGGCGTGTGGAGAGAGTTCCTCCCCCGGAGGAGGTGCGAGTCGCCCTCAGATTGGCAGCCGGAGCCCCGCTGCGAGCCCCGTGTGAACTCTGATTCAATAGGTTCCTTGCCGGCTCCCGGAATCCCCGCCGGGGTACGTCGGTCCCGTTTTCCCTGCGCTGTGCCCCCGCCCAGCCGCTGGCGGGATCCCCGCGCTTCCGGCTCTGGCGCTCCCGGGTTCCAGGCGCGGGGCGCGGGGCTCCCGGTGGCGGCGGCGAGGCGCGCGGGCCGCTGCGGCCTAGGCCATCCGCTTCTGCCCTCCCTACTGCGTGGTCCGTTTGAGAAAAGTTGATGGGTTTCCGTTAAGCGGGAAGAGTCTCCCACGTTGTCACCTGGTCAAGGTAATCTTAGCAGCATTTCCTTCCGCTCTTTGCCCTTCTCCGCCGCCCCCACCCTCCAGTCTGGGTTTTAGGTCGGCCAACGCACATCCTTGGATCCGGGATTCGTATGGCTCGCTGCCTTTTCTGTTCTTCATGAAGAATTTAGCTGACCGTGCCGCCTTCTGGTGCTTCCCTTCCGTAAAGGTAGGAGAGCAACTTCACGCTTCATAGAAAGGCTCAAATCCCACGTCGGGCTCCCGGTGCATGGAGCCTGCTTCTCCATCTGCCTATGTCTCTGCCTCTCTCTCTCTCTGTGACTATCATAAATAAATAAAAATTTAAAAAAAATTAAAAAAAAAAAGAAAGGCTGTAAGTGAATGATTTGCTCAAGAGAGGCAGCCCCTTAAGAAGCCCTGTGCGGGGCGGTAGATGACTGAAAGGGAGACGCCAGCGTTCCACTCCAGTCAGTCTGATACCACCGATCAAGTCTTAGCTTCCCAGGCCCCGTGTCTCTCAAGAAAAGTTCGTATTTGGTCCTAGATTAGGTTTGTAAACGATCAAGGCATTTCATTCGGGGGGGAATGTAGACATAAGCCTTTAGAGTATTGAGATCTGTTTTTCCCATCGTTTATTTCCTGCCTTCATAAATTCAGCAGAGATATCGTTTTTGTGGTCCCTGGCCAATCAGATGTTTGACACTAATAAAACCGAGAAGTTTCAAGTAGCAATCCTCAGAAACCTGTTTTCTGAGAAAAGGACAGTATCCTTTAGATTTCTGGTCAATTAATGTGACCTTTCTATTGAAAAATGCCAGTTAAATATACTGTGCCTGCACTTTAAGAGTTATTTTAAAATTAATGTATAGTAACTATCTATACACCTACATAGGTATTACCTATAAACCTATATAGGTACTTGAGCATAATAATATTTCCTGAACACTCAGGGATGCAAGGTGTTCTGCAGCCCCTACTAGTTTCAGGTATGGCAGTGAATGTCTCACAAAACGACTTGAAAGTGGAATCTCTTCTGGGTAAGTGTGTCTGTGCCCTGTATATCATAAATGAAGGGGAGCCAGTAGCTGATGGTGCGTAATCAGGGAAATCCTGTTTTCTCCCAAGAAAATGGATCGTCCTGGCTTTAAAAATCCAGCACCTAGGGATCCCTGGGTGGCGCAGCGGTTTGGCGCCTGCCTTTGGCCCAGGGCGCGATCCTGGAGACCCAGGATCGAATCCCACATCGGGCTCCCGGTGCATGGAGCCTGCTTCTCCCTCTGCCTATGTCTCTGCGCCTCTCTCTCTCTCTCTCTCTGTGACTATCATAAATAAATAAAAATTAAAAAAAAAATCCACCTAGTATAGTTTCATACCATGATCAATTCGATAAATGTTTCTTTTTTTAAAAAAATATTTTATTTATTTGTTCATGAGAGACACACAGAGAGAGGGAGAAACACAGGCAGACAGAGAAGCAGACTCCACACAGGGAGCCCAATGTGGGACCCAATCCCGGGACTCCAGGCTCATGACCTGGGCCGAAGGCAGACACTCCACCGCTGAGCTACCCAGGTGCCCCTCTATAAATGTTTCATTAAAAAGTTGAACCATGGGATCCCTGGGTGGCGCAGCGGTTTAGCGCCTGCCTTTGGCCCAGGGCGTGATCCTGGAGACCCGGGATCGAATCCCACGTCGGGCTCCCGGTGCATGGAGCCTGCTTCTCCCTCTGCCTATGTCTCTGCCTCTCTCTCTCTCTGTGTGACTATCATAAATAAATAAAAATTAAAAAAAAAAAAAAAGTTGAACCATTGGGACGCCTGGGCGGCTCAGCGGTTGAGCTCCTGCCTTTGGCTCAGGGCGTGATCCCAGATCCTGGGATCGAGTCCCACGTCGGGCTCCCTGTGTAGAGCCTGCTTCTCCCTCTGCCTGTGTCTCTGTCTCTCTCTCCGTGTCTCTCATGAATAAATAAAATCTTAAAAAAAAAAAGTTGAACCATGCATCCCTCTGAGAAAAATGATAATGGAGCCATTAAAGACAAAAAAGAAATGAATGTAATAAAACATGAGAGAATGAGCTACATTCAGAAACCCTCCCTACATTCAGAAAATATATTGGGAACCTAGGCGCATTGGTCCTGGAGCAAAATGAACTGTGGTAGAATAAGCCCCAGCTGGACTGGAGATGCCCCCAAATGAGGACGCCAGTAAGAACTGATCCCCGAACTGAATTCTTTACGTACTTGAAATTGCCTAATTTGTAAATACTTCTGACTTTACATAAACTAGAAGATATTGCTGTAAAAAAAGACACCTCAACGTGTATAACTGTCCCAAGTACTTTTAAGGAGAAATACAGAAGTGTCAGGAATTGTTTCAAAAACTAAAACCGTGAAAGAGAGCACCTTGTTCTTTGGTCAGAGCAAAAGCAGGGAACTGGCATCTGGGGAGCTACTGTGATGCTGCATACTCTAGCTTAAAACAGTAATTTTAAAAGCATTGTCATATCTTTTTGAAAGAAATTAAGAGATTAGCTAGCTAAAGATAAACAAAACGTGGTATATATGCGCAACAATATTATTTTAGCCTTAAAAAGGAATGAAATTCTGACACATGCTACAACTTGGATGGAGGTTGAAGACATTATGCTAAACAAAATAAGCCAGACATGAAAGGATGGATATTGTATTATTGTACTTATATAAGGTATCTAGAATAGTCACATTCATTAGGGATGGAAAGTAGACTAGTGGTTACCTGGGGCCGGGGAAAAAGGGGCTGAGGAATTATTGTTTAATAGGTACAGAATTTCAGTGCAGGATGATGACAGAAAGTTCTGGGGATGGATTGTGGTGATGGTTGCACAACAGTGTGAATGTACTTCATGCACTGAACTGTACACTTAAAAATGGAAAAAATAGTAAATTTCATGTGCATTTTACCACAATAAACATATTTTTTAAGAAGAAAAGTAATTGAAACGTGAGTTCTCTGAGGACCAGTACTGTGTCTTACTCAGCCTAGCACCTCTTATATGTTCTAGAATGATTGTTGAGTAAATAGACAATTATTTCTGGATTGCTGTAAAAATACTAGTTGTATAGAGGTTAATATATGTGTCACTTTGGATAGCTGCGGGAAAAAAAAAAAAAATGTGTCACTTCGGCATCCAGGAGCAGAGCACTTTACTTCTCCCTCAGAATGAATGGAGACCAGAAATTGGATGCTTATGCCCAAGCAAGGCAGGATTTCATCCAGCACTTCCCCTAGATTGTCAAGATGCTGACCGAGGATGGCATGGGAGACGGGAGACGCCATTGCCCGGCTCAAGGAGGTCTTGGAGTACAAAGCTATTGGAGGCAGGTACCAGCGGGGTTTGACGGTGCTGATAGCATTTCAGGAGCTGGTGGAGCCCAGGTAGCAGGATGCTGCTAGTCTGCGGCGGGCGCTGAGCATCGGCTGGTGTGTGGAGCTGCTCCAGGCTTTCTTCCTGGTATCAGATGACATCATGGACTTGTCCCTCACCCGACGGGGGAAGATCTGTTGGTATCAGAAGCCAGGCATAGGCTTGGATGCCATCAATGACGCTTTGCTTCCGGAATCATGTATCTACCGCCTGCTGAAGTCTACTGCTGGGAGCAGCCCTATTACCTGAACCTGATTGAGCTTTTCCTCCAGAGTTCCTACCAGACTGAGATTGGACAGACCTTGGACCTCATCACCGCCCCTCAGGGCAGCGTGGATCTCAGCAGGTTCACTGAGAAGAGGTACAAGTCAAGAGGTACATTGTCAAGTATAAGACGGCCTTCTACTCATTCTACCTTCCCGTGGCTGCCACCATGTATGTGGCAGGCATCGACGGGGAGAAAGAGCATGCCAATGCTAAGAAGATCCTGCTGGAGATGGGGGAGTTCTTTCAGTTTCAGGCTGATTTCCTGGATCTCTTTGGGGACCCCAGTGTGACAGGCAAGATTGGCACAGACATTCAGGACAAGTGCATCTGGCTGGTGGTTCAGTGTCTGCAGCAGGCATCTCCAGAGCAGCGCAAGGTCCTTCAGGAGAATTATGGGCAGAAGGAGACGGAGAAGGTGGCCCAGGTGAAGGCGCTGTATGAGGAGCTGAACCTGCCAACCGTTTTCACGCAGTATGAGGAAGATAGCTACCGCCACCTCATGAGCCTCATTGATCAGTGTGCCTCGCCCCTGCCCCCAGCCATCTTCCTGGGGCTGGCACACAACATCTACAAGAGGAAAAAGTAACCTAGAGACTGCGAGGATGGGGTGGGGCGGCTCTCAATAAATTGCCCAATCTTAAAAATATATGTGTGTGTGTGTGTGTGTGTGTGTGTGAGAGAGAGTGTGTGTCACTTGAAGAATTAGAGTAAGCAGAAAATTCAGTTCAAATTGCCACTCTTAAAATTTAACATTAATATTTCTTTTCCTTTTATTTCCTTCGTGGAGTTTTTTGTTTGG